ATCAAATTATATTTTAACTAATTTAGAGTGATTTGAAGGTTTTCAAAACCCCTCACAATATTGTGGGATCTCGCAATTTTTTATTTTTTTCTCCATGTCCCTTTAGGGGCTCCATACATATGCAATAATAATGATAGTAAGTCTTTTTTTTTTAGAGTGAAATATATATTTGTAATGTGTTGCGAGCATTCCTCAAACAGCATCTGATTCTTTGCATTTGATTCAAATTTTGAAAACTATGCCCTCTTTAATCAGCTATAAATGGTTTGGACCATTAGACTTAGACAACCTTTTATTGTCAAAACACATTTTCTCTAGTATAGCTTTCTGTCAGCATTCCATTAAGTGCAGCAGTGATCAGATGTAAACGATCACAATTAGAGATGTAATGATTAGCTGACAAATGTTGGGTTTTATAAAAAAAAAAAGTTTGTTTGGTCTAGTTCAAACTCGCTAAAAGAGTCAAATGGCAAAATATTAGTCAATATTTGCAACAGATCTTGACAAGAAAAATAGTGGACCAGTTTTTCTTGTTTTTTTTGGATCTTAATCATTCATTTAAAGGAGGTGGGGGCAGAAATTGTGAAAGAATACACATGCATGTCCATCTTTTTTATGCAAATAGGTGATGAATTGTTAAAAACCAAAACAGAGTCCACCCACATATAATGCCGCCCGGATTGCTGCATAATACACTGCAATTCGGACCGCAGAATGTTCTGCTCAGTCCTACAGATTTTACAATTGATGCTGTACAGGAAGTTGTGATTGTTTCAGTAGTTGTATTAGGCGACTTGCTTAAAATTATGCTTTTGCTGTCATACAATTTTGCGGTGGTCTTGTAGTTAACTGTCAAATAGTAAACAGCTATGCAGGATAACCAGTCCAGGGCTGTAAATATGGCATGTACGCATTCAGTTAGTAACCTGGTTGCTGGCTGCAGTGACCCGCAGTGCCTGTCGTGTCACTTGTGAATCTTGTTTCCTCATCCAGCCTCTAGTTCCTTTAACTGCTAGGTTGTGAATAAATGCATAAAACAGATTGATCATTGAACTTGGGAGTGACACAGGATGTAAATGACTCAGATATAACACTACAATGTGGCTGTGATGTAAACCTAGACAATCAGAGTTGTTTTAATATCTGGAGATTAGCTATTATGAGTCCATTTGGGGAAGACAGACATGGCAAGTCATAGGAAAATCTGTAAGATAAATGATGAAGCATAGTTTGAGACCTTCCAACTCGAACATATCAGCCACGTGTGAGACGGCACGGTTTAAAGAGAGAGGAGTCAACTCTAGTATGAGTTATAGCAGCAACTAGGACTTTACTCTGAGTGTTAGTGATGTCACAGCTTGGCTTGGCTGCCTGAGAACAGTAGTCTGATTGTTTATGTTCTCAGCAGGCTGCATATTTTTCTCATCCTCAATAAAATGCCATTAAATGTTCCGCTGGGTTAAATAGTCACAGTTTAAACTGCAGATTTCAGGTTGTGTTCTTCAGTAACACACGTAAGAGTTCAGTGTGTTTGTTCTAAGAATCATTTACTCTTAACTCCTAAGCTCTTGGTCATTATTAGTGTGTTTTCTTCGTTAAATTAAGCACAACCTCAGTAATTTTACTCTTCAGTTCCAGATCCTCTGTTTATATGCGGCACCCTAAGGTTATGCCAACTGGTTTATGGTCTTTTCCGCTCCCCTGTGAGATTCGTAATGAGTTTTATGTTTTTCTGCCTTCCATGTTTGGTTGCTCCCATAGCCTTGGGTTGTGATAACATAGGTTACATTGTGAAGATGTTGCGTTCCAATGTTCAAATGCATATTTTGTGGTCATTATACTTCATGTCAAAGTCATTGGCACATATCAGCTTGAATGTTTTTTTTTTGCCTAAATGAAAAATCTATTAAATCTTAATATAATCATGTAAATAACAGCAAGAGTAAATTCATTTCACAAACATTTTCAAGTAATTTCTGATGCATTAAGACATTTTAAGAAAAGTCACTGTTCAACAGTGGATGTTCTGTCTGCCAGCAGGGGCTTTGAACTGCCCTCTCATTACTTCATATTCGCTTTTATGGCCATATCTGAAGTCAATATACAATGTTTTGTACCTTTTCTTTTGACCTGACAGAAAAATAGTTTCCTTTATGCAATGTCACCTCTGTCATGACGGTGCTACCCATTTCTTGACATTGTCATATCCCGCCACTTGTGACAATTAAACCTCCTCTTTAGAAAAGCTGAACAAGCTTTTCGCATTGAAAAAAAAACAATACCACAGCTTCGACATAAGCTATAAGAACAGTTGGCTTCAAATTCCAAACACTTGTAAAATAAGCAGAGGTGTCAAGTAACGAAGTACAAATACTTTGTTACTGTACTTAAGTACACTTTTTTAGGTATCTACACTTTACTCCATACTCCTACTTCTGACTTCTATTCATTACATTGGCTTTGGTTTAATGTTTATAAATATATATTTCATGTCATGAGCTAACCTGACTCCGCCAGATGGATTTGCTCCACATATCCATCTGGAAACCTTCCGTAGAAGTAATTTTGGGAAGGGGCGAAAATACTGGTTAGCTGATTGGCCTATGTTGGTGATAGACAGGCCAAATAAACCAATCAGATCAACAAAGCATATGACGTAACAGAGCGACGACGAAGAGGAGCCAATTGATAGATCAAACTCTTGCCGAAACCAGTCGGGAGAAGAGCAAAAACATATTTTCCTCTGAGAAAAGCCTCCAGAGCAGTGTTTTGCTCTTCTTTCAGTGAAGAAGTACTGTGTAATTCCGATAAAACTTGCTCGATAGCCACGCTAATGCTAGTTTCATACGCTGAAGCCGCCATGTTCTTTAGACTGGACTGTCGCGCTTCTCGTTGCGTCACACCTCAACCCGCCTCAAAGCCAACGCTGATTGGACGTTCGATTGGTGAACGGCTCCAAATTTCCTTTAACGGAGAGTCTCCAGACTGATTAGCGAGTGAAATCTTGAAAGCTTGCAAGATCACGATGGTCTCACGAGGCCATTCATATGCGCCATCCAATGCAGATCATTGGCTCCATCCACATCTAGTGAAAACTAGTGTAATTGGATGAGTCATAGAACGCAAACACTCATCGATTAGCTAAAGGAAATCATCAGAAGCAAGCAGGTGTTCTTCAAACTGCTAACGTGAATTGTCTATTCAATGCTACAATGTCGGATTCATAAAAAGATGTCTGAAAGGTCGGACACAGGCGAGAGGCGTGTGTTTTTAAAGTGTTTTGAACTACAGGATCTATACTTCTACTTAAGTAACAAATGTGTACTTTTGACATCACTGAAAACAAGTGTATTTCCCTTTCATTTGAGTAGATAAATAAGATAAATTTCCAATGGGATTTTTGTACCTGTATTTAGTATTATGCACTTAAAAATAAGATAACATAGTTGTTTTCTTCGTATTTTACTCTTAAAACATATTTTCCCATTGGCGAACTATCTTGCTTGCCTGCTAAAATCAAAGGAAAGTACACCTACCTCAAAAAAAAAATCTGATTATCTATAGTTATGCTTTTGCAGTGGCACTCTGCTTCTAAGAGAGTCACTTCGTGTCAAATTTGAGCCGAAATAACCACGTCCTACCTCGATTCATTGCAGATCAGAGAAAAGTGTGTTGTTTTTTTGACTGATAGACGTAGAGCGGTAAAGGTAGCTGCATCCGGTAGAGGAGGTGGGACAGGAAGAGAATCCTTGTTAGAGACAAGAAGTCATGAGGATAAGTGCGATGTGCAAAGCTACAGAGAAATACCACTTTGTGCATAACTCTAATAAGGGAATAGTATTATAACATAGATTAAAAAAATGGATCAAAAAGTTAATTTTAACTGATATAGACACTTTAAAACAACTAAACTGAGGGTGGTCATAAAGGTTAAATAAATCTCTAAATGTCAAAGAACTTTTTTCAGTGTAAGATATTTAGTTACTTGTCAGCTTTGGAAGGTAATGTAAATATATATTGATGATTTGCCTATTTAGTCCTGGCTCTTCTGTGTCATATTGGCTGATACATTCTAAGTAAGAACCATTTTATACTCAGAATAACATCATTTTATCCTTTCAATGCATCATTTTGTTGTTTAAGGCTGAATACTGCCTTTTGAAGTGGATAAATTCCTATCCAGGCTAAATATTATTGACACCATTAGAACTACATAAACGTTCATGCTGTTCGGAGTGATTTAATAGAAGTTTCTGCATCTTATCTGAATTAAACTTTTAAGTCTTGAACTAGTTCTGGAAGCGGTCCCATTATCACCGCGTCTCTGAATTTTGTCCCCAATCACCCGTCTCAACCTGCAACATTGTCAAGACTTGCTGCCGCATTAGAAAAAGGCGTTCAAAGTATGCAGAGTTTAAGGCTCTCCATTTCTATGGCCATTTCTTATTTTCCCCCAGGATGCAACATTCCGCACAACTTAATTTACTTTCCCTTACATAGAAGCAACCAACGACAGCAGCACCGCATCCAATCTCCTCCTGCCTCTGTGTAGGCCTTTGCTTATTCCCAGGGATCCACATCTGTGTGCTCGGTGGAGATTTTCTTTAAATATCTCTTCACTGCATATTTTTAACATCAGCGGAGGAGGCCTGCAGTGTTTTAGAGTGACACTGAGCGGGAGATCTCGGAAACTGTCAGTCTTGGGACACACTGCAGCTTCTGGGATTTACTTGCATGGGTAAAATTCTCACAACTTGCACCGGGAAACTGTGACATGCTCCAGAATGTTGTTTTTTTTCTGCTCCAGCTGGCTTTCAGATGAGTTATCATGTCTTGACATGACTCTTGCATTGACACGTCGGGGCTTGACTTGGCTCTAATCAGGCTCTCAGGAATAAAATCCCTTTAATAATTTGTTTTTTTTTAAAGTAAGCGGGGTTCTTTTGAATAGTACCGCTCTAACAGAAGCAGAAATTTTATTATCTCTGTTCTTAGATGTCAAAACTGGTTCTGGAGCTTTTAAACCTTATTGGTGCAGAAGTGGAAAAGCAGCGGTGACTCACCTCCTCAGGCAATAAGGAGGAGCTACAAACTCAGGAGAGAGTATAAGAACTCAGAGGGTACGCCTTTCATTTGACCTGAATAAGTGAGTGAAGGGCTTCAAGCACAGCTCCTGTCTCACAGAATAGGACAGAAACTTTTTAAAAAAATCTGCTTTTCACACAGGAGAATTGAAAGGGGAAATTTGCAGCATAACAAAGGCAAAGAAAAAACTTGCTGAACTGGATTTCTCTGTGTGGTTTGCAGGGTAAGTTTCATGCTGGCAGCTGATCTCTTCAACACTTTATGGGACACTTTGTTCTTCCGTTTTAATGGAATAACTTTCTTTCTATTTCTGCTGTTTTATTCATTCCAGACACGATGGCTTCAATCACGGCAAACATCAGTAACGTACGATATCAAAAGATTGAAGACTGTGAGGCTACCAACGAGGGGCTGTATAAGTTCTACGCCGCTGTGATGATTGTGATTTTCATCTTGGCTTTGCCTCTGAACGCATCAGTCCTCCACCTCTTCATTTTCAAGCTCAAGTTCTGGAAATCCAACAGCAACAACATCTTTCTTTTCAACCTGGTTCTGGCAGACATCCTGCTGCTCTTCTGTTTGCCAATCAAAGCTCATAACTACATCATTGGACAAAGGAGGAGCAAGAATGACGCGGTGTGCAAAGCGATGCTCTTCATGTTGTTTTTAAACCGTGGGGCCAGTATCGCCTTCCTAACGGTGACCTCCATCGATCGATATTTTAACGTAGTGCACCCAGGCAGAAAAAACCTCCTGAAGGTTCTCAAGAAATCTCCTCACATCTCCATCTTGATTTGGGTGTTTCTTCTGCCTCTAACCATTCCCACCATGCTGAAGACCTTTGAGTGCTGCAACAGCCACGGCCCAGATGGAGAAGACCCAACAGACGACACTGTGATCAAAGTAAGACCTGCCTCTCATGCAAAAACGTGCAGTAATAAACTTAAAAAACACAGTCTATAATAATTTTATCTAGAAAATATTGGAAAACTTAACACTGGAATCTTTTGCAAATAGTTTACTTCCTCTGTGCGTTTCTTGTGAAAATATTTCAACATGCTACAGATGTTTAGGTTCTGATGACAACACCAACCTTTTTAGTGGTACCTTCTCATTTATGCAATAATTGAAATTACTCTGTTAACTAATATGGAAATGAGTCACTCTTTTGGTTGAGAATGACGGAAAAGTCTGATCGGAGTTAGAATAGAGGGTTTTTTCTTCCATAACAAAGAAATATAGATGGTTGGCATGTGTTGAAATTGGAGCAACTTCAAGGGGGCCCTGTTTGCAAAATAAACAAAGCAACCTAAACCACAATGCTTTCTTTAATTTAATGTTTCCTAGCCACAGGAACCTGTAAATGAGGAACGTGTCTGAGGAAAAAAAACAACTTACTAAAGTTAGAGTGCAGAGGAATTTCATTCAATTCAGTTAATTTATATAGCACCGAATCACAACACATGTCATCTGAAGGCACTAAATTCATCAGATAATACAGTAAAAGTTTTCTATCTAAGGAATTTAATGGGAAAATTATATTATTTGTTTTAATAGTTAATTTGAAACACCTTATTTATAATTCCTGCAGAAATAGTGTGAGATACCTTATCCACTCTCCATCTTCATAGCCAAAGCCATAGTGCATCTGTTTAATAAACTGATCAGTGATTTACAGTCGGTGGTGGTTTTAGACCAAATTTACCAGGGAAATGGTGGGGGGGTTATGGGCCACACAACAAAATATTAACCCCTGATCTAGCAGATGTCCTATCTTAATATGGCACAAAATAAAACACATGGATATTTAAATTATTGCAAAAGTAACAAAAGAAACTGGTCCAATAGACGGACCAGTAATGATGTCTGTGCCCATTTATATCATAAGAAACTTTAGTCTTTAGTAGAGGGGCCATAACGAGAGACAGTTCTGCAGGAGCACTGGCCCCTGTGTAGGACCACCTATGCGAATGATTACAGCCGTACCTGAATCTTAAAAAGCCTGTGAAGTTGTAATCAAATTGTTAAAGGAGAATTCCGGTTTTTAACACTTTTAGCCCATTTTCTGTAGTGTCCAGGATGAAATCGAATGATCGACACCAAAATTTTGACAATTGGTCCTGTCTCTGCTATTTGGCTCATGCAGAATCCCCCCCTGGCTGCTTCAGAATGGCTTCCATAGTGCATGTCCGATAATGTCCTTAAAACAACCTTAAACGTTCTTTTTTTAAAATATGCTACTCACCGGGTCGTCAGCGCTGTTCAATGACGTTCCAAAAAAAGTTTTGTGAAGAAAAACCGTTCCTGTCTTGTTTTATTTAGCATTTTGTAAATCCCAGAACTATTTTTTCCGATACATCACAACCGCTTATAAACTTCCGCTTCCCGTTCGAATCTGAAGCGTTGCACACTCCAGACCACTAGTTGGCGACAATGTCTCTATATACTCCTCCTCAGTATATTCCGGTTCAAAACGGTATCCTCTACCGTCAAACTCAAAGTCCAATATGTCTTCATCAAGAATCCACCTTTCGTATTCCATTTTCAGAGTTTTTTAAAGTGTTTAACAGAGACGTTAGCACCTCGACGTCGGAGTACACAGAGTGAAGCGAAACGACTACAACTAAGTGTAGTCTTTTCCCCATTTCCGTTTCCTGTGGCGGAGGGATATTGACTATTCCAACAGAACTCAATGGGATTTACAAAATGCTAAATAAAACACTACAGGAACGTTTTTTCTTCACGAAACTTTTTTTGGAACGTCATTGAACAGCGCTGACGACCCGGTGAGTAGCATATTTTAAAAAAAGAACGTTTAAGATTGTTTTAAGGACATTATCGGACATGCACTATGGAAGCCATTCTGAAGCAGCCAGGGGGGGATTCTGCATGAGCCAAAAAGCAGAGACAGGACCAATTGTCAAAATTTTGGTGTCGATCATTCGATTTCATCCTGGACACTACAGAAAATGGGCTAAAAGTGTTAAAAACCGGAATTCTCCTTTAAATGAGGAAGTTATGTCCCCTAAAAAAGGCCATTGCACCTCGGGGCTTCCTCACGGTTCTTTTCCTGGGAGCAAGTTATTTACTACTCTTAACTCAAACTGGGTAAAACCATATAAAAAAGGACTATAAAAACAGGAGTAAAAAAAGTAACAGAGTTTATTCCAGATCAGGTCGTTACAGGACAGAGAAAATGCTTGGAGCTTTCACAGCTGTGGGCTCAAAAATCACGTCAGCGAGCGTCCGGCAAAGATTGAGCCCCGAACAAGGTCACCTTCTCCTTCTTATAGCTCACGAGTCTATGTAGATAGATAGATGTACTTTATTTATGTGTTGCACCAGGTGGATGCTTAGTGTTCCGTATCAGAAACTGACACGCCATCCATGCCCAAGGATTACAGATAGCTCTCCTCTATCAGTCCGGCTCCAAGATGTGCCCATATCCTGTGTATTTTTAAAGACATGAAGGCTGTCCTGATTAGATGACCTCCGTACACACAGTGACATCCACGATGTGAAGGAAGGCCATCTACTCTCTCTAATCCGGCTAGCAAAGTAACAATGCACATGATGTATAAAGCATAAACCTAACAAAATGAAAGAGTGCAAAGCATGGGGAGTGGTGTTCTAGTGGTTAGGGCATAGTGCTTGGAATCCTGCACTGCAAAAAATGCTTAAAATTGCTTAAAATAAGTTTTTTTTTTCTTGAATTGAGCAGGTAAGTGAGACACTTTGCCAATAGATCTAGATAATTTGTATTTAAAACAAGAAAATATCTAATTATCTTACTTTAGGAGTAAATATACTAATTCCATTGGCAAATTGTCTTATTTACCTACTGAAATTAAGGGTAAATACACTTTTTTTTACTAATTTCTTGATTGTTTTTGCAGTGTGAGGTTGTGAGTTCGAAACCCACTGTAACAGACTGATCAAGACCCTTAAACCCCTGATTGCTCCCTGGGTGCCCCACGGTGGCAGCCCATTGCTCCCCAAGGGGATGGGTTAAATGCAGATGTAAATTTCAACAATGTGAGATCAATAAAGTTTAATTATTATATGTGTGGTGGTCCGTCCAGTAAGGCACAAGGACAAAGGCATATAAAAAAGTATTTTCTATTTATTTTCCAAAAAAATTATTCACAAAAGGACTTACATCAAATCTCAAAAAAATATAACAAAATGTGCCCCAAGGAAATTAACTAAGGCATACCTAACTCAGGATAACAAACCAAAAAACTGACCTCACACAATGAACACACAGGGGAATTTATACACAAACGAGGAGGGGTGGAAGATGAGACAGAGACAAACAATGCATAAACATAAATAACTAATTCAAACTAACACCTTTTGACTACAACACAACTATCAAAATAAAACAACATAACACCAAAAATGCTTTAACAGTTATGCCATAAGTGGAGAGAGAGAAGCAGACTCCAACATCAAGTCCCCTGCTTCCAGCAGCCTGATGGTATGTCCCACTTCCTGGTTTGCCTTTCAACCAGTCCTCTCCACTCAGCCAGTCCTTCAACTCAGCAAAGAAAAGTAGTTAATTCAATTAAAATAAACAAAAGGTGTTTACTAAATGTGTGCACCCATAATAGTAAACAACCTAATGCCAAAAAACACCACAGAAGTGAAATTATAAATGTACTGTGTGAAGACCTTTAAATAAATAAATACTAACACTGAGGAAAAGATGGAGGAACCTCCACATGTTAAAATCATTAAACATCAACGCAGTTGTGCTACATACCCTAACTCTACATAAGCAGTTTTCTGCTTCCTATGTTACATCAAGCAAACTATTAAACTGCACTGTTGAGTGGTGACTTATAATCTTTTTCATTATGATTATTTCAGGATTTGGTGGACAGCATGAGAGAGGTGGTTTTCTTCAGCCAGATCGTCATCCCTTTCATCATCCTGGTCTACTGCACAGTGCGAATCGTGAACCGGCTCAGGAAGAAAACCGTTGGGGATAGGACCAAGCTAAAGAGAGCGGTCTTTCTTGTGACCACCGTCATGGTGGTGTTCTCCTTCTGCTTCCTGCCTTGCACTATCGCCAGGATGGTCCTGCTGATCATCCGGGTTCAGGATGCAGACGATACTATACAGGATAAAGCAGCCGTGGCTTTTGACGGCCTAATGGTGCTTTCCTATATGGACTGTCTGCTGGATCCGCTAGTTTACTGCTTCTGTAGCACCAAGTTTAAAGCACTTTATCTCTCTAATTACTTCTCTTGCTGTGTGGAAGTGCCGCCGGAGCAGTTAAACAGCTCATCAGGAAACACAACACATCCAAAACGCAGCAACGTTATTTAAAAGAAGCGACTTTAATAACTGCTGGGTGTTTAGCTGCAGACGGACTGTAGCTCAAACATGGACATGAAAGACTTTAAGTTAAATCATAATATGTAAATAAAACAAAACAGATGATTATATACCTTTGTGGCTGATGTAAATCATCTACAGGACTGATTTTAACTCAGAATCTTTAATAAGAGTTATTTTTTTATAATGTCAATACTTTTCTTAAAAGAACTGCATGTAAAATATGCACATCTGTTTTTATTTTGTTCTTGGACTGTGAGATAAGTTACACAATCCCTTCATGGAAGAGGAATCTGCTGTTCAGATCGGATCAACTTTACACACTCAGAAAAGTGCTTAAAAACATAAAATAACATAATTTTTGAAATTCTTTTCCAAGGGCCTTTTACTTTGTCAATACGTCTGGCCTTCTGGTGAGTTTGTGCTTAAATGCATCGTAAAAACCTGTACAATTGGTCGTCATTACGTCTTCATCAGGCATGTGGAACATTTTCCCTTTAAGTTTTGGGGTTAATTTGCTTCTTTTTTTTCCGTCACTCAAAGGAAGGTCTTGAAAAGGTGTTTAAACTTCCCTGAATTACATAGGAAGTAATTAATCACCCTGCTAAGCCAGAGGTGACTTTGAAAATCCACCTGAAGAAGATGAATCACTTTAATATCATCACATGAAGTAATATGGGAAAGAAAGGATGAGTAAATTGCTCACGCTTGGTTAAAAGTAGACTGAAACTGGATAGTTTGTGTCTGTGTTTGGCTGAATTTAGAGCTGAAAACCCCTCTGAGTCACAGTTACGTGACTGATCTGTGTTTTCCATGTTAAAGAGTTTTGTTAGAACAACTTTCTTCAAAGGTTGAACTTTTGACCTCCGGGTGCTTACGTGAATCAAGAGGCGACAGTTTTAATCCGAAAGAGTCCAACACTGCAAAAAACATCTAGAAATAAGTGAAAAATATCTTGTATTAAGTGTATTTAGCCTTAATTTGAGCAGGTAAATAAGATGACCTGCCAATGGAATTAGTATTTTTACTCCTAAAATAAGATAATTAGACAATATATGCTTGAATTAAGACAAAAGAATAGTTTTGCTTCTTATTTCAAATGTAAATTCTCTCGTTCCATTGGCAAAATGTCACACTTACTTCTTCAATTCAAGAAAAAATGCACTAAATTTGAGCAAAAATGACTTATTTAGATTTCCATTTTTTGCAGTGCATCTGCACACTTCACCTGGGGAGCCATAAAAGGAGTAAACATTGACAAAGAGCGCTCAGTGTTGAGAGTTTCTCCTAACAAACATGTTCCTCAGTTTACAAGCAGTTAAAATGTCAACACTATGGAGGCGTGTTTTTGTTTACTCACCATGTTTTTTTGAATTCCACTACTTTACAGGATAAACCATGTGATTTACTGTACCTCTCAGTGTACGAGTCTAATCTTGTTTCTGATTTGTTGATTATATAATAATTGCATCTGTTAATGGTCTTTATATCTTGTTGAATAACCTTTGAAAATAATGTTATGGGCTGTTGTGAAATGTAATCCCATATCATCATGCTGCCACCGCCATGTTTAACTGTATTCTTTCGGAATGTTATCACTGTTTTTTGGACTAAACAGACCCTTTGCAGCAGGAACCTTAAAGGTCAGTGTTATTCTGTGCAAACCCAGAGATCTGTTATTATTATTTTTTTTAAATGCATTATTGGATCCTAGATTAATAAGCAGAAAATATATAAATTGATCACATTTCATGGGTCAGGTTTATTGGTGACTTTATTTAAATATTGAATTAAGATGTATACTTTCAAATATATCGACTCTTGCTGCATCCAACTACTGTTTTCTGGGCCTTATTTATCTGTTTGTGATCAAATTTTATCTATATGTGGATGTAAAAATAAAGTGTTTTTTCATGAATAACTGACAAAGATTTGGTGAGTGAGTTGGAGTGACATCTAGTGACACATTGTGAAATTTTCAAAGCACACAAAAGGGAAGTTTGAACACTGCAAAAATGATCAAGTTAAGTGTATTTAGCCCTAATTTGAGCATATTATTAAGATAATGAGTATTTTTAACCCTAAAATAAGATAATCAGATGATATGCACTTGTAATAAGACAATGCAATTGTTTTTTCTTATTTTAAATGTAAATAGACTTGTTCCATTGGCAAAGAGTCTCATTTAACTCCTCAATTCAAGAAAAAAATAGCTTATTTTAAGAAAAAAGGACTTCTTTAGATTTCCATTTTTTGCAGTAAAGCAGTATGACCATCATAACTTTGTGTTTGGTCGACTTGGATCTGGTAAAACACCTGCATTCTATCATGTAAAGAAAACCTTTTTTTTATTATGAAGGAAATGTTTTAAAGGGTAGAATAAATGCATGTTTTGGGGCAGAAACATGAAAAAGTTTTAAAAAACTCCAACTTTCTGAATGAAAGTTTTAGTTAATTTCAGGATTCTTTAATAAACTATTAGATTGCTGCATTTTAGAAATGACTTAACTCTCATAGAGTTTAAGAACATATACAGCTGTATGCTCCACCTGCTCTATTTAAGTTTTTCTTAGGTTGAAATCATTGTTTTTGGGATTTAAAAGTGTCTGTTAAGACTTTTCAGATTTTCTTAAGCTTACTGTATAAATAGACATCTTCAGTGTTGTATAGTAATGAAGTAAAAATACTTCACTACTGTACTTAAGTATATTTTGGAGTACTTTACTTTCCAAGAATATACATTTTTTTGCGAACTTTCACTTTACTTCACTACATTTACGAACTTAATTGCATACTTTTACTCCGATACATTTTCAATGTTTGGTTTAGTTACTACCGGTAAGTAAAAAAAAAAAAAAAAGAGCAATGCAAGTGTTTTGACCCCACCTACTGACTACAAAGTCAGGTCTTACCTGGGCTTGTGCATAACGTTATCTGTATAAATGAACTTTATTTGGCATTGTTTTTTAGTTCCACACGTGGTGCATTTAGCTTAAGCTAACTGTTGACTGTAGCAGGCTTTTGAAGATGAACAGAAGATTTTACAGTTTCAAGTGATAATGGGGTTATGTGCGAGGATGACCACAAGGGGTGGTTAAGAATTGGAGGGGAAGAAAAAAGTCAAGAGCAAAAGCATGGAGGGGAGGAGGGGCCACTTGTGTTTACAAAGTGTTTAAGATTTAGTGAATTGGCCTGAAGTGCATCTGTTTTTCTCTGGTGTGATGTACACTTATTTTCAGCACTGCCTTTTTTTTTTTACGTTTTACGGTAGTTTTACAAAAAATGTCTTCCTCTTCAGATGCCAAATAAGCTGCAGTTCCCTCCCATTTATTTTTCTTTTGTAAAATGACCTGTTATCTGTTTGCCTTTTGTTTGTGAAGTACAGTAATTTACAGCCTTTTTTCGTTCTTCATGTTGGCTGCGTTTACAAAAGAGGCTTCAAACTGGACTCCCTCTTCAGATGCCAGATAAGCTTCTGTTTTTTCTTTTTTTTTTGTAATGATGTCAATAACAGTAGCAGTAATAAAACTTGGTCTAAATTTATCCTACATTTGGTTGTGTATATTATTTTAAGTGAATTTAACCTTCAAAGTTTACCAAAATGTTAAAAATAATGTCATTTAAACTGCACTTACTTTTTACTTATACTTTTTACTATATTACTTGAGTACATCTATTTAAACAGTAATTCTTATACTTAAGTAGAAGCCATTTCAGATACTTTAGGACTTTTACTCAAGTAACATTTCAGTCAGTGACTTGGACTTTTACCAAAGTCATATTTTGGAGAGGTACTTATACTTTTACTTGACTCTGAGATTTCAGTACTTTATACCTGTACAACACTGGACATCTTAATGTTTTGGGCCAAAACTCACTAACATTTAAAGCTATTCATAACTTTGCCCACCTTGACGAAATCAGCAGTTCAATCTCAGTTATGCAATAAAAGAAAAGAACAATTTTTAACCTCTACTACAACAATTAAACATAAGTAACCAAGTGTTATTGTTTAAATACTGTTTTTGTTTAACCTGCTCAAAATAAGATTTGAGCAGGTTTGAGAAAACTGACTCCTTTATCTTATTTCAAGTGCGTATATCTTAAGATCTCGTTTTCTATTGGCAGATCATCTTCTTTACTTGCTTAAAAGCAAAATATGGTTATTTAATGAAGAAGTTTGACTAAAAGTTTTACTTATTTAAGGTTATTTGCCCTAAATCTCTGACTTTACCCCCAAGATGCGTCTAAGGCATTGCAAAAGAGTCCAAATGGGTGAGCAGGTCTTTATTTTAGATTTAATTCAATTCAATTTTTAATTCAATTCAGTTTATTTATATAGCGCTAATTCACAACACATGTGATCTCAAGCCACTTTCACCATATGGGTTCATAATAATTGGGTGGAGGTGAGCTCTAAAGTAGTCTGAATGCTAATAGCGAATCTAAAGATGGTTTAACATTAAGATTAAGAACGTGCATGTTTCTGCACTCACACTGGGAAAAAATTGAAATCTAGATAAGTTGTTTTTTCTTAAAATAAGTGTATTTCTACTTGGATTTAGTAGGTAAAAGAGAGATTTTGCCAATGGAACAAGACAATTTACACTTACAATAAGAAAACACAATTGCATTGTCTTATTTCAGGTGCATTTTATCTAATTTTCTTATTTTAAGAGCAAAAATACTAATTCCATTGGCAAATCTCATTTACCTACTCAAAATAAGCATAAATACACTTAATTTAAGACATTTCTACTTATTTTTAGATCCTTTTTCCAGTGCAGGCTTTTGCAGCTTTCTCTCTCGTCATTTCTCCCCCTGCCAGATTTGTTTTTTGGTTTCCATTTAAAACACACGTTATGCAAAATCTGGAAAAAGTTGAGATCCACTGTTATGTACCACAATCTTGAATATGTTATACTTTTATTCTTGACTCCTTATTTTTCTTTAAAACATAACTGA